ATTTATTTCATGAATGAAGAAAAACATTTTACATATGATCAATTATTTCATTCATTTTGTTTTGTGGCGTAAAAAATCAATTATTTTTATCCATTTTTGTATCAAATGTTTTTTTCAAATATGTTTATTTAAAGCATTCAAATTTTTGAAAAAATATGCTTAAAAAGTTTATATGGTCGGTTATTCGATTACCGACCGAAACCAGACTACGTTTTTTGGTCGGTTATAGTGATGTTATCGGTCGGTTATTAGAGTGAAAAAACTTGGTCGGTTATTCGGTCGGTTATTTGACGGAGTAGGAATCCGGAGTGAGAAAAAAAATGAAAACTAAAATAGCCATGAGAAGCTTAAGCAAAATTCAAGACTCGAACCTAAAGAAAAAGCTGAAAAGCGAAATATTATTATGTCTTCCAACAAACTTGAACCCGCGTCTGCTTATGATATCCACTACGCCTTACCATCTACGCTAACGCATCATTCCTAATATTAGCGGGTCAAATTGTACGAGTACATATCAAATTCTTCGAAGCAGGGCTGTGATAAATAGGGGTGTTTGGAACTGATTCTGTTTCTGCTTCTTTTTTAAAGCAGAATCAGAATCAGTTTTCAGAAGCTGGTACTCCCAACTTCTAAAAAAATTGATTCTGAGAGTAAATTAGAGCACCGGAAGTGATTTTGGAATTTCACCCAAACACTCCAGCTTCTGCTTCTGCTCCCTGCAGGAGCAGGATCAATTTTGAGAATCAGATCCAAACACCCACATATCTAAAATATTATAAAGTCCAATGAAGGTTAGGGCTTTTTGGGTATAAAAAAAATGTTGGTGGAATCTCAATGCATTAAATAGCAGTACACTACCTTCTACATGTTATACTCTCTTCCTATTATAACCGGTTTCCCAGTGGCTCCGTTAAATTTTTTAAATAACATCGTTCAACCTTCATTGTTTTGCGGTTCAAAAATGCTTCAGGTACACACTTTGTGTACACACTTTGTGTACACTCGTCTGTCTCTTAAGAAAATTTTGTCTGTCACAGACAATTCATATATGAGTTGTCTGTGACAGACAAAATTTTCTTAAGAGACAGACGAGTGTACACAAAGTGTGTACGCAAAGTGTGTACCTCTAGCATTTCTCTTTGCGGTTACTCCGTCACTCTTCATTTAGCTAACCTTGGCTTCACTATGCGCACATCCTCTATTAAATTATCATTTATTATGGTGCATATAACTCCAATATGAAAGTTTCATTTTTTTGAGATCTAATCACACCATAGATGGAGCTACGTGTCCCATTTGCTTCTCCAATCACATTGTACAACACTTCCTTTACAAACAATTTATTGATTGATTCAATTATCGGCCATGAACAATTTAGGTTACGTTTTTAAGATTGGGATGCTCCTGACCAGTCTATTGTAGGGCAGACATTTTAAAACTGAAATATCGAAAACCGAACCGAAAAAATCCGAACCGATCAAGAAAAAATTGAATCGAAACTGAACCGACTAGAACGGGACCCTGGATGTTGGGACCCGAAAATTAATCGACTCAAAGGTGGTTTTTGGAGGTTTAAAATCGGTTCAACCGAACCGAATCGACTTTTATATAAATAACACTTTGTATATTCTGTGAATGTTTTGGTTATGAGAGGAATTGAAGCAATCATCTCAACCAGTCATGTACGGTTTAGGATTACATGTGTTCCATCACAGATTAATATTTTTATCCCTTTTCCCCAGTATTTATTTGTAGGCAACTTTTGTTGAAAAACTATTGTTGGTCCTCGTAATATCACGAAAATGTTAATTAGATTATTATAATTTTATAAATTCAATCGCATTCCCGAACTTTGAAAAATGTTTAATTGAGTCAATTAGCAAGTTACCTGCCATGTTATTAGCAGGGTACCTCCTAACGTGCCACACCAGTTGTGGTCCACATAAGTGCCACGTCATTAAGAAATGGTAGACTGAGCTTCTACATGTTTACCACGTCAGCAAAGTTACTGCTGATTGGGTTGTCACATGTGTACCACATCAACATGTGACTTAAGACAACTTGCATTCCTACACCACCAAAAAACATTTTTTTAATCCCGGTAGGCAAACCACCATTAGGTGAGGCAAATTTCGGGGAACATTTGCCAAGTTTTATTAATAACGAGAGGAAAAAAATACAAAAGAAGAGGGGGGCTAGACCAAAACCTCTTCCGAAAGGGCATCCCTTTCAAAATACGGAGTACAAAGCTAAGAAGATAAAAAAGCAATTGGGGGGACTAGACCCTACCCAATTGAAAAACATACAAAAAATAAAAATTAAAATCTAAAGTAAGAAAGTCCAAATTTATCTGCCCAAAAGGATTTATGGATAACAATATCAAGCTGACTAATATTAATAAAAATCTCCAGTGCATTGGATTTAGTCTAGGACAAATAGTGAGCTGGCCAATTTTCATATATTTCAGCACCATCATTAAAACCCCCACTCGGTATATTTGTTTACATGTGACTTTAGTATAACATTAATGATTTTTTTAAGTAATGTTTTTCAAAATCACACATTTCAATGTTAAGAAATAAAAATTTCGTTAACTTTTTTTCGACATTTGGAGGCTTCATGGATTGAAATCTGTATTACGTATTTTTTTGCTTAAAAAATTCCAGCAATTGGAACTTTAGATTTTTTTAAAAAATATATGCAATATTAATGTCATATGAAAGATCCTAAAATTTTAATAATTTAGATATATTTTTACAAAAATTGGCCAAAAAAACAAAAAGTTATAACACATTAAAAAAGATCTTTTCCATGGGGTCCGTGGGTGACAACTGACAATTAGGAGTGAGCACCCCTTTTTGGATTATTCTTGCTTTTGGCCAGTCAACCCTCTCTCATTTGTTTGCTCCCCACCCCATTTTTCATTTTTTGACAGTCATGTTCACAAGTAAATAACTCGTGAGATTTGACTACATCTATGAATTTAAATTGATAAATTAAATAAAAACCCTTTGTAGCATACTAGGTGTCTATAAATAGGCCGGCATAAATGGGGACTTTTATGTTGTGCTATTTTTGCTCTTGCTATGAAGTTATTGTGACTTGCTCATTTGAAAATGTGCAGCCACTGCAGTAAGGGTTTTAGCTTTGCATGCATCATCCCAAACCTAAAATTTTGTTATCAAAATTGGTATTCATAAGATCCCTACTTTTAGCCATTCTTGCCACGGAAAATAGTATGCTTAAAGTTTGTGTGTAATTTCAAATGAATCAACTATTTTAACCAATAATGTAACATTTCATTCTGTTAACAATAACAAAATAGCATTGGGCATTTTTTTCCACTCGCGCATCGCGCGTGAAAAAACTAGTACACACATACATATACACTACGACCGCCGGCGAATGGGGAGGGGCAGCACCGGCTCGCCCCATAGTTCCGCCACTGCTTATGACATCACACTGATCTCACAAACCGGTCTGTCTCTATAATAAAATGTGCATTACGACTTTACATGTTTTTTCCGCATTTCAGGACAGAGACACGGACACTAGTTCCGTTTCATCGAATAACGTCCATAACTATACGTATGACTTTTCCTACCGATTCGTTTCTATACCCAACGCATGGATAACCAATTAATGCCAATCGAGCGACATAAATACCAGCATATACAAAGCATATACTACAAAAAAAATTAGGCACAGAATTTGGTATGGATTTATCAATTTTTCGTGCCAAATAACTCGTGCCAATGTGTTTTGACACGGATTTGGCATATCCTTGCCAAATCCTTCTTTATTTTTTTTCAAATTCTTGCCCAAATCCCTACCAATTCCATGTTTTTTGTGGTGATATATACGGAGTATATAGTACTATAGTGTAGTGTAAATAAATATAGCGTCAATAATGATAAATGCGTACATAATTAATGTTTGCATCATGCGCGCATTGTATTGTATACTAGGGCTGGGCACGGGCCGGGTCGGAGCGGGTAATGCAAAATAAAATGGAACCTATGGTCCGGTCCGATCCGAGTATTACATTTTTCAAAATAGGAACCGGAAATTACACGGCCCATTTGAAACGGGTCGGTCTGGTCCGGGTTTTACGGTTTCTATTCTCATGTCTTGAAATTAGTAAAAACTCACGAAGTTCCAAAAATCAATAATCAATAATATAGGACATTAGCAAGTTTCAAAATAACAACATAGTGGTGCATATATAACACAAGCGAAAAGTCCAATACTCCATATTTTCTTGTATATAAGTTTCAAACAATTAAAGAAATTCCAAAAATATGCAACATAGCCAAAATACATATTTTCTAACATTTGTATTTAAACATGTTGTCTAACATCACATATTAAAGTGATTGCTTTTTTTTTTATATTAAATTTTAAGTATTAGCCAAAGTTGACACATACATGGTGGGTGGTAAACACAATTTATATATTTTAATAACAATATAATAAAAAAAATATAACAAAATCACCTTTAACAAATAATTAAATTCCATAGAAAGGAATAATTCAATAACAATAAAAAGTAATAAGATATTTATGAAACATTTAATCAATAATTTGAAAACAAAAGGATGTTACTGCAACTCAATTTAAAATCCTACTTCTAGCACAGGAAACAAAACTATTTCAAAATCGATTATCACAAAACTATTAATAAATTAATATACAATATATATAACGGGCCGGGCCGGGTACCCGTTATTTTTTAATTTTGGAACCGGTCCGGTTCCTTAAAAAAAATTACCCGACCCTACCCAGACCGTTTTATGGAAACCAAAAATGGAACCGGCCCGTTTTGGACCCGAACCGCCATTACCCGGACCGGATCGCGGTTCCAAGACCCGTTTGCCCACCCCTATCGTATACTCCCATTGCATGAACGGAGTATAATAAGTTTTGTACTCGTACGTCGTATGAGTTTGTGAAATCCAAACAATATTTAATTAATAACACGAGTTAATATATGAAGTGGTAAAAAAGTCTAATGCTTCGTTACATAGATAAATCTTGAAGTGCATTAACAGCTATTGAGCATTCACGTAATTAAGCTCTCCCATTGCATGACCGTCCAATGTATATTGTTCAGCAACAGCAAGCTTGCTACCATAAAAATCCAAGCGCACAAGTGATTGTGGTAATAATTATGCATCCAATACTGTCACAGACAACCATATGTAATTACTTAAGTGCTAAATAATTACTATCTCCATCCCAAAAAGATTGACCAATTTAACTTTTCTTGCTCAATGGTGTTAAAGTTTAGATAATGATTTTAGGTATTATATTTGTGTGTAATTTATCAATTTTGTACTTTTATGATTTTTTTAATAAAGAATTAGCTCATATAATTTTTCATATTTTAAATAATTTTGTATAAAAAGATATCATTGGTCAAAGTTGATCACCATTGACCCAAAAAGTCAATTTGGCCTGTAATTATATGATTCAAAATTATATGGTTCAAAATTGGACTGTAACTTAGACAAAGTGTATATAAGAGTAACTATACTTTATTCCCAAATATGACTTATTTGATCCCTCTATAAGTATAAAACATCTCGAATTAAGAGTAAATGAGTGATAGTTTAGAAAGAAAACAATGACAGTAATATTTGCGCAATTTGTATATATATATGTGTGTGTATGTATGTATATATGTGTATATGTGTGTATTAATTAGTCCTATTCAAGGGGAGGGTATGGTATTTTTTAGACAAACCTGATAGGAGTTGTGATAGTCGAAACGGATATGGCTGTAGGTGGAGACAATTCTGAGACATCCAATTCCACATTGTTTGAGACATTACTGTGAAGGAAATCATAATAATTATTATGGAGCATTTCTTGGCATCAAATTACGAGTGAGAATAACTTGTCCTCCGATCCCTTTGTGCGATTATGATTATCCCATTTTTTCATTTTTGTCTGTGCCACTAAGTTTTGTTTTATACGACATAGATTTGGTAGTATTCAAGTGGTTCTATTTCATTCTTACGTTATTCACACTTTATCAATTCATTGTCAATTAAATAACTATTTTTCTTAAAAACTACATCACCATCTCTTGTCCCAATCTCAGGAGACGGGATGAGGAATGGGGAACGTGAAGAATGAGCCAAAGTTTGGTTAGTTGTATTCACTCCATCTTGTTGTACAATCTATATACACAAGGAAAACTAGATTTCGAAAAGAAACTTATAAACAAATAATTAAGATTTTTTGCATCATATTGTAACAAGGAAAACTAGATTTGTGGGAGAATAAATTTCTTTCGCATTTAAAGAATCAATACTAGTTGGTTGAGGAAATTGGGCAGTTAATGGTTTGATAGGTAAATAGCTCATATGTATAAAAAAAAAACTTATACTTACAGTGTCATACTTGCGGATTTTAAAATGAGATTCTCAGGAACTTTACCACTCAAGAGATTATCTTGGAGCATCCTTCAAATTTCAACCAAGAACGAGAAGATTAGATTCCACAAAATAATAATACTTCTTCCCATCATAAAGAGTTACATTATTTTTTTTATTTTACACCAATTAGTATATCACTTGTGCAATGCACAGTGTAGGATAATTTTCAAAATAACTATTAATGATTTTTGTAACAAAATGAAATAAAGTGATAAAAATAAATTGTAATTTCTACTATTTTTTGAAATTATTAATTTCATTTACGAAGTATTAATCAAACTCTTCTATACGTGTTGATGATATTGTAATTTTATTTTGTTTTACTTTTCAATAGAATTGTACAAATTTGAGTCATGCGTTATAGTAGAAACAAAAAACTAAAGTCAAACTTAAAGAACATTTTTTTTACAGTCAAACTTACAGAACATTAGAAAATAGAAATGGTCATATGATGAGAGGCCCGTCAACTTATTAAATAAAGCGCTTCCCAACTTTTGGCTTTAAAAAGCTCAAAAAGTGTTTTCAAGTGCCAACTTGAAATCTAGAATCTGCTTTTTACTTTTTCTATTACTCAAAAAGCACTTATTTTACCAAATACTACCAACTTTTACTTTTCAAAATCACTTATTTCTCAAACACTACCAACTTTTATTAGTAATCACTTTTTCCCAAATCACTTAAAAAAGTTCAAAAGTGATTGCGAGTAGTGTTTGCAGACAAACCCGCTGAGGCGCAACTTATTTTTTCTGTTTTACTTTAAAACGTTGTTTAATCAATGAATATTGGGTTTTTTACAAGAATATTACTAAAATAAAACATATTTACATAAATATGATTATTCATTACTACAATGTGTTGTTGTGGTAACTTAAGCTCAAAACTTGAACATGAATTACTATGATTTCATTATTACTCTAGTCACTAGTCATATTTTTGTAAATCATCTTTATTTCGATCATATTTATGTAATTATTTCATGAATGTTACATCAATTTATTTTCATATTCATACAATAAAAAACGATTTTTAAATATATAAACTTTTAGAATGTATATGAACATTTTTAGAGACTAAAAATACAAATATCTTGTTTAATTTTATCTTATTACTCCGTATTAGAAAAATTCATAAGAATGATTTCTCTATTTGTTGTCTATTTATGATTATATTGAAATATATTGAAATTTATGGCAATTACTTGTATACTGCTGGCTATTATATTATGGCATCAAAACTTTTTTATGTATACTACCCATCTGGAAATATTGCCAAGTTTATTGCAAATTTGGTAATTGCACTGTCGGCACTGGCATTGGTGCACTAAGATTTGTGGTTGCGGCGGCAGATTTGCTAGAAGGAGGCATGCGGCGGTGCCAGTAGCACCGCTAGGGTATTAAAAATATTTTAAAATTCTTTAATTTGTAATTATAAACATACTTAGAATGTAATAGAAGACCATTAATGTAAAATAGAAATGCGCAAGGACATGTATATCATACAGGACACTTAGTGATGGGAGACTGCCCAAATTTTCAGGGATTTGTCCACTTAATTTGTTGCCATTGAGGTGCCTGAAAAACAAAATCATGAAAGCCAATGGCAGAAAAAGAATGACAATGTTTGGGGTCCAATATTAATTTTCTTACATACTATCCATGTTCTCTTTTAATTGCAACATTAAACTTTTTCATTGTTCTCATATTATACTTTGGTTATATTTTATTTATAAATATTGTTAAATATTGTAAAATTATTTTTAAATTATTACTAATAAGAAATCAAAGATATTAATGATCAAATTTGTGTATTGGCAAACGTGAAATGTTGAATGCTGCAATTAAAAGAGAACAAAAGATGAAGTATATAACTAATTCTTTTTACCTGGAGGCATGACCCGCCCCCTGAAGAAAGAAACCTTATGAATTACCATACATTAAGTAATCTAAAGAGTAAAGAGCTATAGAGAATTTGTGAAATGCAACCAATTCTAATTATAGCCATTGTGAAATATGATAATAACCACGTACATTCTACAATGAGAATTATTGCATGTAAACGCTTATATAAGTAATATTCCGTATCATGCATGCTTGTATAAGTAACCCTAAAATCCTGACTGATAATAGAAAGTATCGTATTTATCATGCATATAATCTTTCTAAGTCATTATTTCACCTTTTGTTTTATGTTTAAAAGATCCATGTGGATAAGATATGGTACCTTGAGGATACTATAGAACTTTCCTAAAAAAACAGGTATCGTCTATTGGGATCTCATTAGCAACAAGAATTCATGTTTAAATGCGCGCAGTGTATATAATTAATAGAAATTGTTCAAAATAAGAGTAAAACATACATAAAGTTCTAAAATAGGACTAAACATTTTCGTTTTCTTTTCTAAATAAGACTTATTTAATTCTATTAAAAGAATAAAAGAAAAAGTCCATAAAAAAGAGCTTAGTCCTATTTTGGAAAGAAAATAATGTAACTTGTACGGAGTATTTAGGGGACTTTCTCAACAATTAAATCAAATCAAACTAAAATAAAACAGCAACTCGTACACTTGTATCAAATTTGTGAACTTGCCAAACGTTAGGGGGATGGAACCATTGATACCACACTCGTAAATAGACCTGATCAGTAATATTAAAACGGCTATATCATTTGTCAAACCAAAACTTTAGTTCATTCAAAATTTACGAGATAGCTAGATGGATATACAGGTAGTAGAAGAATACATACATACACTGATACACAACAGGTGGTTTAGATCATTAAAATGAGAAATTTTCTCATACGAAATAGGAATATGTCTGGGCAATCAATCACAAATTGAAATTGAATGTTGAAGTTATTTATATTAAAAGACATAGTGGCGTAATAAAAAAATAGCTGCAAATAAAATGTATAACCTTGAAGTACAAAAGTGCATCTTATTTTAATAGAAGTTCATTTCATTTATATACAACTTATAATCCCCACTTTACAATAGCACATTTTATTAAATATAAATTACTTTAAATATAAATTAGACAATTAGTTGACCAGACTGGACGGGGACTGCCGAGTCATTGACCAGGCCATATCAGACCAGGACTGCCCGGCCGTCGATTGGACCAAAAAGGTATCACGTGGTCGTGGATCATACCGAACAGGGACCGTCGGGTCGTGGACCGGACCAGGATCGTCGAGTCGTTGATCGGACCAGGATCGTCGAGGCATCGATCAGATCAGACAGGGACCGCACGGTCGTGGATCAAACCGGACAGGGCCGCCGGGTCATGGACTGGAGCAGAAAGGGACTGCCGGTTCATCGACCGGACTGGACTGGGACTGTCGGGTCGTCGACCAGACCGGACTAGACCGGATCGGACCGGGATTGCTCGGTCGTTGATCAGTCTGACAGGGACCATCGGGTCAATACCGGTCCATACTGCCGGGTCAATACCGGTCCAGACCGCCGGGTCATTGACCGGACCAGATAGGGATCGTCGGATCATTAGCCGGACCGAACTAGCTAGAACTGACACCGGAGCGGGACTGTATCCACCACTAGGCGTAAGTATGTAAATTCATTACAGCGGACTGCAACATCTTCGTTTTCCAAATTTGGAAAACTAGTAAAAGTAACTTCTCCAATTCATTAAGGTAAACAGAGACATGTCTCATTTTTTTGGTTTTGGAAAACGATTTGGTAAAAACATTTCTCTGTTTTCCTTTCTCTAGTTTTCCAGCAATTTTCTTTGGTAAACACGTTTTATGTTTTCCATTTTCCAGTTTTCCAGTTTTCCAGAAAATGGGAAAATATCTCTGTTACTAAACAAACCTTAGTGTTTATTAGCACAAGTAGATCGATGCAATCTAAGGAAATTTTATACGAGTAATTTTTTATTCCCATCTCGGAATGTGAATTACGCAAAATTTAAATATATCCATCAATGAAGAAGAGCCAAAGTATTTCTAAATTTCTTGTTACAATAAGTATAAGGGATTGGTGTGATACCATATACACGAAAAGTATAATGGCCTTGCAAAATGTGGAGCAAATATATAAATATATAAGTTATTCAGCATGCATGTTCTGAAGCAGATCTCATACATTATCATATTGAATTGGCCCGTCCAAATAGAAGGTATACAAAGTACGTATTAAAAACGGGTGAAAAGAATTGGACTAACAAATGCGTCAACGCTGAAAGGGCTTTCACATGATCTGGATCATTAAGCTCTGAAAGTTGTCCCGAAAGTGGTTGCCTACTCAGAGTACTGATGAAAGTTGTAAACATAAACACATAAATATGAATCAATATCTTCCATCTAGTTGGCCAGATTCTCCATCAAACCCAAAAGCACGCAAATAAACATAATACTTGCTTCAAATAACAAAAAGTAAAAACGATTTGGAATTTCTAAATAATATTGTCATGTTTGTAAATCATAAATAAGAATATTCACTTCCATGTTTGGAAAAGAATTGAAGAAAAATAAAAAAGAAAACTAAAGAGATCGAAAGAACCCTCGAGGGTTTGAGGGAAAACAAAGAAAAAGTCTGTAGTGCTCCCAAGAGAGAAAAACGGTATCGTATTTGGTACTGGTATACCGTGCAGGCGTGCAGTGTGCGCATGGTATACCGGCACCACGATATAATTTGCAATCATAATGGTATTGATAAATTCTAAACCCTATCCTTAAAGGTATGAATGAAAGTAATTAAAACTCTAAATTTTTGGAATTAAGTCATATACTTAACATTTTTATAATGTTTGTCATTTACGGAATATAAATTTGGAGAGCAACATACGTACATTCTAATAACGGAATTTCCATTGCATCCCACCAGGCTGGTCCAACTACAGGGATTGACAAGTGTTTGATCGAATTCATCCATGACCTTTTTCTGATCGATAGTATTAGTCAAACCGCCCAATAGTGTAACTATAGCGTCAACTGTATTGCATAAAGACGGTTAATGATCATCACCCCGTAGGTATTTCCTAAAAAGAAGTTACTTAAAATAGGATTAAAATCTGGATAATAGAACTAGTATTGTTTTTTCCTAAAACAGAACTTATGTACTTCTATTAAACGAAAAAAACAATAAAAGCTTCACAACATAAGACTGAATGGGTCATATACTCCTATCTATGAAACAAAACAATTACACTCCTATATATTTTCTCCTTTCTTTTTTAGTTGCAACATTCCCCTTTTCACGGTTGCCGATGCACAACTTTGACCGGTATTATATTTAATTCTCTATTAGTAAAAAAAATTAAAAATCAGATAATGAAACTTCGTAATGAGACGAATTCAACAATATTTTTCAAAAAAAAAATAATCCACATACATTAATTAATAAAATATAGTCAAAGTAGAGTACATGAATAATGTGTAAATTCCAATGTTGCAATTAACTATTATGATACGGAGGATAGTATTTGAGAAATAATGTTTCATTTTACAATAAATGAATATTGGGCGTGTTTGACATTCAGCGTTTAGCGATTAACGGATAGCGGGTTATGTTAGCGGGTTATCAATAGCGGATTCGGTCAGCGGGTTTGACTAGAGGAATAAATTAGCGGGTTGTCAAAAAATGTTTGGTAATTTTGCTGTTTGGCCATAAAATTAGTAGAAAACGTCATTTTTCAAAATGTCAATCCAAAACTCTCCTATTAGGAGCGTTTTCATTTTGGCATTTTTGTCCAAATACGCTGGTGCCGAACAGCTATTTACCACAACTTTTTTACTTATTGAAAATGCTAAAAATGGTCAAACCGCCATTTTTCGGCTGAAACGCCATTTATTATTTTATTATGAATTAAGATATTTCATTATGAATTAACACCCTTAGAGGTATTTAGGGTAGAAATCAATTTGTAGTCCTAAACTACCTGAAGGTAATTAAAAAGTAGTAATCCTATTTGTGCTTAATTAAAAAATATAAGCACAACACATAGTTATTACTCTGTACGTATCAGTGATTATATTTTTCATAATAATAAAATTCGAAATAATTGCATATATACGTAGTATATGACTAAAATGAAGACCCTACAAAAATGTGATTAATGATTAAAGTGGTTATGGAATCATAATAACTTATGTTAGATTTTTAAACATAAGTTACTTTAACACTACATTATAGTAACTTCTTCTTCATTATCACAGTGCCACAAAGGCTCCCCACCTACGGTGGGGTAAGGGGATCGGATGTACGCAGTCTTACCCCTGTACTACAGCACAGAGAGACTGTTTCCGGATGACTCAAAGTGAAAATTGCTTCAAAAATTGCATGAACTGACTTCTTTATAATAAAGAAGCGTAGACAGTTTAGTGACCCATTTAACTTTTTGTTCCATCATATTTCCAACTTCCAAGCCAAAAAATAGTGAGCCTTTGACTCCATTACAAATGATGGAATAACTACATTATAGTAACTATTAGTCATATTTGTGTAAATACATTTTACGGAATATTTTATTAATATTTTTGGGAAAAAACCCAAATTTTGGCCAGTAACATATCACTTTTGGATTATAATATCCAATGAGAAAGAATGACCAATGGACCATTATTGCTACTTTCACAACGAAATCACATATAGTTTTTATGGTACCCATAAGGTATATGCCTTTGTCCACATGGACCAATGAAAATGTAGCAGTTGAATTATTTAAATCTAAATTAAAATTGATAAAGTGATGTGGTCCAATCAAATGAATGCTAGGTACGGTACCCCTGTTTTTAGAAAGGTACCGGAGTTGTCACCTAATATTATATGCATAATAAATACGTACCCTGATCGTCTCCGGTAGCAAACCAGAAAAGCATAACAGCACATGCAGAAACTAGCAGCCACATCGCTGATATCATCCGACCCATTTTACTCGATCCCCCCTCCCGTAATACTAATTCACACACTTATAGACACGCAATATATGATTTTTGGAAAAAGGATAAATGTTTGAGAATTGAGATTATTAGTTTCGATACCAAGTTGATGGATCGAAAAACAACAGAAGTATTGGGTGTATATATAGTACTCCGTACGTTGGAGAAGACAAAATGGGCCCCAAGCCCATACATCATGCAATAATCAAAGGGGGCAATATGATCTAACCACTTTACAATTGTTCGTTCTTTCAAAAGGTAGTCGTGTGAAGAAAGAAGGAATGGTTGTTTCCTATTGGGTTTTCGCCAAAATCTAAAAAAAAAACTTTTTCAGTTTTCTTTGCATACAGAAAAGTTATACTCCCTCCGTAACATAAAAATCTTCTCACTTTCCTTTCTCATTCGTATAAAAAAATCTTCTTATTTCTAAATCTTCTCATCATACCCTCAATAATTCTGAAAATAATACATTATTACAACTATTTTTTTTGGATTTATCTTACATTCTATCACATTATTCCACTATCTTCTCATCATACCCTTAATAATTCATATCCTCTTTCACTATTCTTAATCTATCTACTTTTGAAATGAGAAGGTTTTTAAGTTACGGAGGTAGTACTTCGTATGTAGTAATAGTTTAATACTTTTAAAAAATAGAAACCTATAAGGAAACATTAATTTATGATTTTAAATTTTTAGTTGGACTGATTTGTATGTCAAAATAGACTAGATTAAATAGACATAAATAGATTAAGGCTATGTTTGGCACACAAAAACCTCTAGCTTTTAGCTTCTCTACTCTTTAAAAAGACCCTAAAAGACTCTAGTTGTATGTTTGGCATGACATTTTTTAAGAACTTTTCAAAAATTAAAAGATCTTTTTTGAGATGCTACCGGGTGTAGCATCTGAGAAAAGCTCGTGACTTTTAGTATTATTTAGTCCTAACAGCTTGTATACCAAACCGAACTAAATCAAACAGTCAGCTTTTTACCAAACAGCTATCACCTTTTCTTTTTAAGATCTTTTCAGTCACTAACAGCTGACAGTTACTAAAAAGCTCACAAAAGTATCTTTTCAGCTAGTTGAGCCAAACATACCCTAAAACAGACTACACACTTAAACAAAACATACTACATCACAATTAAACAATAGTGTAATACGCATACACTAGAAAAAAAAATCAATCCAATTTAAAACATTCGTGATACTCATTTAGGGAAGGTTCTTACTTCAGATCAAAAGATTTCCTCATGAGTTGTTTGGATCCATTAATTCTTACTTTAATACTACCCGTCCTGCTAAGATTGTCTCATTTTACCTTTTTTTGTCCGTTTCATTAAGATTGTTCCATACCAAATTTGGTAAAGTTTGTGTAGATCTAAATCATTCTTACTTTATTCTAGCTTACTTTGTCAATTCAATATCAACCACATAAGCCTTTTATTATTAACTTGCGTGGCACTCCCTCTTGTCCCATTGTTAGTGAGACTGAGGGAGTAATATCTAAGAAAAAAAGTAAGAAAACTATTTTTGCTCATAAGTTATGTTTCAATTATATTTAAGAAAAAAATCTTTTTTCGATGGTTGGAGGCATCAGAAGGGATGATAAATTTTTTGTTTTTATTTCAAATAAAATATACTCCCTCCGTCACGAAATAATTGTCTTGTGTGCTTTAGCACATACCAAGTAAAAGTTTTTAAAAAGTGGTTAAAAAGTAAATGTTTTGATTGAGAATTGAGTAGAATAAGGTGAATTGATACGAATGACATATTATTATAGCTAAAAGAGGAAATAAGATAATTATTTTTGTACATCTAAAAAAGGAAAGCAAGACAATTATTTCGTAGCGGAGAAAGTAATATCATAATAAAAAATATGACAAAGATTATACAACCCTGCTATAGGTATATATCTCATTTTGTACCTCAATTTGTACCCCAGCTTATTTGTGTGGCTCACAAAAGCCCACTTCAATAAATGAATTGCTCCACTTTAATGATTTGTTTTATTTTGTGAGTCACAAAAATAGGGAGGGATATAAATTGGGGTAAGCATTTTTTTTTGAATATTATATAGGTCTACAGGAATGGAGACCACTAAACATTCCTATTTTGAGAACTCGCATGGAAACATACTCCGTATAATCCGATACTTAGAATGATAAATAAATTGTAATTGACGCATATGCATACGCCATTATAGTTACATACGCCATGTCGCCATCATCACAGCAAAATATAAAAAGAAATAAAATTGTCAAAGTTAAAATTATTAGAATTTCTTGATCGATTGTTCTTTTCGGTATACATAAAAGGTGTATAATTTTTGTACATTTTTATGTCCATGTACACAAATAATTGATGTTTTTTTCTTAATTAAAAAAGCTAACTGTGTACACAAGTAACTGGGGAGTATGTAGAGAAAAATTGTACACTTTTTATGTAGAAATAGAATTTTTCTTTCTTGATAGTGGTTGGTGGAATTTGATGTATCCAATTATCCAAAGATATACATCAAGGTCAATTTAGGTTAATTATAACTCTCTTCGTCAATAAATCAAATTCCTCATTAATTTGTATGTATACACTCTATCAATTCGGTTAGAATTTTATCCATATATCCAGGACCTGAAAGATAGATGCGTTATCAATTCGGAACCTGAAAGATGAAATGTATCGGTATAGACCCTGAATAATTAAAAACTATCAATTTAGTACCTAAAATTCCACAAGTTTTGATTTTTTTAAATTTTTATTAATTACATTGCTATTAATTTTTTTTATTATGGATCTTTCTCCACCATGTTAAAAGAGTGTTTAAAAGAGTGTTTCCACCATTTTAAAATATCATATTTTTGAAATAATATTCTAATTGTGTTAAATTGAAGAATGGGAGGAAAAATAAGATTAAACCGGAATCCTTTTATTTTAGCTACTGATTTCATTTGTGAGACCCTTTAGATAAAAGAATAGAATTAAAAAAGAGAGAGAAGGGGCAAATAAGGCCACGTACTAACCAAAAAAGGTCAAATAAGACCTTATTTAAGAGGTTTTGTCCGGCCATCACCAATTGGGGTGGTTTCCGGTGGAATTTTTTGATGAATTTTTTTTAGCATCTTATTCAGTAAGTCTAGTTTACTCATATCAAATTTCAGCTAAAACATCAATCGGGGAGGCATTCAAATGAATTCTTGAAGATAATTGCGCAGTTATCTTCAAGAATTCATTTGAATGTCTTCCCGATTGAATTGTTAGCTGAAAATTGGTATGAATAAGCTAGCTAGACTTGATGAATAAAATGGTCAAAAAATGTCATCAAAAAATTCCACCGAGAACCATCCCAAATGGAGAAGGCCGGACAGAGCCTCATAAATAAGGCCTTATTTGACCTTTTTGGTTAGTACGTGGCCTTATTTGCCCCTTTTCCAAAAACAAAATCTAACGAATACTTAAAATAAAAATGACTATTCTTATTATTATTGTTATTATTATTAATAATAATAATATTATTATTATTATTATTATTATTTGATGGCTTCGCTGACCCGGGGTAGCAAAAACCGATAAATACAGACTGAAAAGTACTAAGTGTAGATTGAGTAGAAAATTTAGTAGAGTAAGATGAAGCTTGTGTGCAATTGGCAGGGCAGCAAATACTATTAAGAAACGCAGCAAAAACATCCCATAGTATTTTTGTTTTATTATACAACCCAAATTCATAAAGATGGTGTTTTAAACAAAAAATCATAAAATATTACACACTCATTTCTACAATATCAGTATCTCATAACACAAATCAGCATCATAATTCCAAAAGATCTAAGTTACACATCATCAAAATTCAAAATACATACAATAGAAATTATCATCTTTTTATAAGTTTATCAAAATTAATAGTTTACAATAAATCATCACGTGTACATCCAAAATGCATCATGATCTTCACATACTTCATCATTGGAAAAGGGTCACCTCTTCTGATAATCTGAAAAATCAAAAATATTAAAACACACACAATTAGAGAATTGTACATTATAAAAAAATATAGATCACTAATTAAAGATTTTATTAAAAAAATGTAAACGACAATAAACGTAATTCTAGATCAATATTAAGTTGTACTCATGGGAACATTTGCACAAAAATAGTCTCACCGTTAAACCATTTAGTTGCTCCATCTGAAAAATCACAGTGCATCATCCCTACTTAAGTTGGCATTTGATATCTGAAATAAATAAAAAAAATTAGAGAGATCACATAGCAACAAAATGTATTAACAGGAAACAACTAAAATCGACTCTTCTTATTTACAATAAAATATTTATGAAAACATTAAATTTAATGTAAATTTTATATACACAAGGGACCACTATTTTGGTTAGACATTCAAATGCATATCTCTTTTCCTTTGTTTATTTTGCAAGTACTTCTATATTTTAGCCATAAAACAAATTAACTGTCTGCTCGTTTTAATCTCTATGTGGAAGCCTTTAATTGTTGCTGGTACTTGTGCTATTTTTTTTTAGTTTAACCTAGCAAAATAACAGCTCTTGGGATGTTCTTCGTTTAATACTTACATTAGGAATGATTGGCTTAAGTGACCATGTGAATTTTATCTTTTCAAATTTATTAAGGAATGATACTACCATGCTGTTATCAGACATAGTAGTGAAAAGTAACATATGGTATAAACGTTACCATTTACTTTCAGATTCTGCTATCAAAAGGTTTGCTTAATAATGATGCTAGGCCATTTTTTTCTTGGAGGCTATTGGGTAAAAGTTCTAATCGTCTATATACACATAAAATTGAACTACTCTGTAATTCTATTCTTGAGATTGGTTTCCTTCTATTTTCTACTCCACATTCTTGAAATTATTCTGGCCTAAATTGATACTTTTTGTCCCAAATCCTAAGTTATACATAGATTTCTCTTAGTAGCAGTTTTCTTTAGCAAGATCTACATCTCAAACATTATGGTCTCGCTATAACTAACAGCTTTTTTCCAATTGATAAGTGCAACTTCTGCGATTTCTATGAACAAATACGGCAAAAAATTCACAGGACTGCAATGCATGAAAGATTCATATAGTA